GGCCATTTTTTGGTTGCAGCCATCATTGTTGTTTGGCGGGCCTGGGCTGGGGATTCGAACCCGCCACCTTAGGTGTATGTGGCTGGTGCCCTAGCCGCTTGAGCCACAGGCACCAAGCCGGGATTCACATTTTAAATGAGTAGTCAGAGGCCTGGGAGGTGATGGGCACTGATGCCACAAGTGGTGAGGCCCAATAATTAATGATGACATCTAATAATTAATTAATTAATACCAAGTTCTTATGTCAGGGAATTTGAAAATACACACTGGGTGAAATGTTATCAATAATTCTACGGAAGATGCAAAAATATTCTCCATATGACATTGGCCTTCCAATAAAAGGCAAAGGACGCACTGTACCAGCTGTCAATTTATCGCCTTTCGGATCTTAATCACGCTTGAGTTTGTCCTTCTTTTATGATTCTAGAGCTGGACACTGCACACATTTCCCCCTTGCCAGTTGGTGTAGAAGTCATGGGAAGGTCACAGTAAGAGGCAGGTCTTTTCTTTCCGGTTCCAGAATTTGTTTTTATTTTGTCTTTGCTCCTTCGACTGACTTGACGTGCTGTGCGGAGACACAGTGAATTTTGTTGACCCCACAGCTGAGTTTTGCTGGCGCCCTGAGAGCGGCTTCCTTGGCTGAGGCATTCTAGAGATGCGAGGGCCTGCCCTCCTGTGAACTTCACTGGGACCCCTTCAGGCAGTTGCCAGCCTGCAGCACCTCAGCAGACTTCTTGGCCATCCTGCGGGCCACAGCTATGCCCTCTGTAACATCTCCGCCCTGCCCCTTCGCAGGTGCCCGACCTTGCCCACTATTCCCCACACCCAAGCTCAGATTTTCAGTTTATTAGCATTGATTTACCATTGAACTCTTACTATAAAAGGTCTCATTTTCTGATGACAATTGGCACCCTTTGGTCTCTCTCACCCCATTTACTCTTTCTGTAACTTTTGTTCTCCAACAAGGCTCCGGCCTGCCTGTCGGCCCCCCTTGTGGCCAGACTCTCCTCATCTAGCACAGATCCCATAGCCTGTCACTTAGTCATTCTCTTGCTGATAACCTGACTTCCTTGAAGCCTCAGTCTTAGATACATTTATCAATCTACTGCTCCCTTCCATTCTTTCTTTGAGGATGTGTCTCTGAGAAGATCTGTTTAAAACCCTTTAGCCATGAAGACAAGATCCATTGCTTACTTATGGCCTCCAATCTCAACTAGCGTCCAAAGATTCTTCTAAGTTCCCTGATAACTCTTCAGAGGGTCACAAGTGATCACTTTATCCCATTTTCTGTCAGTTATTTCAAGCTATTTAAAGCTTCTATTCTCCAGCCGCCCTCCCCCCCAATATTGCCATTTACTCTCAGAAGATGGTCTCACCTCCTCCTTTCCCAGAACTCTCTCAAGTCCCTTGTCCCCACCTTCGAATGAGACTGTGGTATATCTACATTTTTTCCCTATCCACGGACAAAGTTGCTCCTCTTATATCAAAGGCTAACTTTTCCTCCTCTGCTCTGGATCTCATTCTGCTTAACCTCCATCAGTTGTTTCTCCATTTTCTTTTATTTCCAACCTCTCCTTCCTCTATTTGAGTCTTCAGAATTTTAAAACGTACGGGCCTGTCTCTTAAATAAAGACTATAAAGCCACCCTTGATCCC